TTCCATTTATTTTTCTTTATTCATTTGACCGGCAGAGACACACAGAGAGAGAAAAAGATACACACATGCACACACACACACACACACACAGAGAAGAGAGTGGAAGGGGTGGATGTGGGGTGCTCCAATATGCTGATTCACTCTTCAAAATGTCTACAGTTGGACCACAATGCTAGGAACAGGGACTTCAATCCAAGTCTCCCACATGTATGGTAGGAACCCAATTATTTGATCCATGACCACCACCTCCCAGAGTTTGCATTAGCAGGAAGCTAGAATTAGGAGCCACAGGTAGGCATTCAACCCAGATTCTTTGATGTAGTCTACTAGCATCTAAAATCATCTTAATCACTATGCTAAACACCCAGCCCTCATGTATATTATTCTTCATTCATCTTTTAAGAAACTAAGATTCCTCACAAGTGAATGTTATATATTAGAGTCACAAGAGCCACTATCTTCTTCATATCTTCCTATTTATACTGTTGTATGTATTTCTTTTAAAAACAAAGGCTTATTTATGTGAAAGGCAGAGCAACAGTAAGGAGGAAAAGAGGGAGATATTCCATCTCCTGGTTCACTCTCCAAATGGCCGTGATGGCTTAAGCTGGGCCAGGCTGAAGCAAGAAACCAGTAAGTCCATCCACACGGGTGGCAGAAACCTTAGCACTTGGGCCATCACCCACTGCCTTCCCAGGCACATTAGTAGGAAGCTGAATTGGAAGCAGAGCAACTGGGACTTTGATATGGAATACCAGCAACCCAAGTGGCAGCTTTACATGCTGCACAACAGTGCTAAACCCTACATATATTTCAAGAGGACTCTGTGTGTGTGTGTGTGTCTGTCTGTCTGTCTGTCTATCTGTTGGTCTATGGGGTTGAGGAGTGGTTGTGATATTTTCATCCTTCATTTGTTCTCTTTAAATCTGTTGTATGGGTAGATTCCAGCTATTTCTATGAAGTGGGAAACCAGAAAATTGAGAAAACAGATTTTTCTGCTCAAACTGAGATCTTATAAAATGACCAGAAAAGTTAAGAACAAAAAGGAGAAGATATTGCACTGTGTTATTTCCAAATAGATGTCAATTCAGTATCAAGTGATGAGAAGAGAGGTATAGAACCATAAGCATTATGCTCCTGCCACAAGAAACCGTAATTCCCCATTATCCCCTAATTTCTGAGATAAAACCTGTTCTGGTTTGAAGGACTAGATTCTTCCTACAGTACTGCTCAATCTGTAGATGAAATTAAAACAATGGATGTGAGGCTATGGCAAGAGGGGGAGGAGGGAGTACTATATGATCTTTACTAATTAAACTCCTGAGATATTAAAAGAGAAGTAGAGAGGGAGAAAAACTCAAAACTCCTTGTCATAAACATGACTTAAATAAAAATGTGTCCAAAAATAAGCAAAAGCTTTGAAGAGGCCGGCACCACAGCTCAATTGGCTAATCCTCCGCCTGCGGTGCCGGCACCCCAGGTTCTAGTCCCGATTGGGGCACCGGATTCTGTCACGGTTGCCCCTCTTCCAGTCCAGCTCTCTGCTGTGGCCCGGGAAGGCAGTGGAGGATGGCCCAAGTGCTTAGCCCTGCACCCACACGGGAGACCAGGAGGAAGAACCTGGCTTCTTGTTTTGGATCAGTGCATCACACCGGCCATAGCAGACATTTGGGGGGGTGAACCAATGGAAAAAGGAAGACCTTTCTCTCTGTCTGTCTCTCTCTTTCTCACTGTCTAACTCTGCCTGTCAAAAAAATAAAAATAAAAAAATAAAAAAATAAGACTTGAAGATCCATTTATCCAAATTAAATGGACAGTAGGCATGTGAAAAGGTGTTCAACATCATAAGTCATCACAGAAAGACAAATCAGAAGCAAAATGAAATTTTGAAAATGAAATGAAAACTTCACACCCAATAGGGTGACTTAAATATATTTTTAAAGGAAAATAACAAGTATTGGAGAAATTAGAAGCTTCATACATTTCTAGTGAAAATGGAAAATAGTAGTCATTTTGAAAAACAGTTCAGTAGTTTCTCAAAAGTTAATCATAAAATTACAGTATGAGCAAACAATTCCATCTAGGTATGTACTTGGGAGATTTGAAAACATACATCTACACAAAAATTTATGAATTAATGTACACAGCAGCATTATTCATAATAGTCAAAAAGTGAAACCAAGTCAAATGTCCATCAACTTAAAAATGAATAAACAAATGGTGGTACAGCTATAAAATGGAATATTATTCAGCTATAAAAATATTAAAGTATCCTATAATACATACCTTGAAAACATTACACTAAGTGAAATACATTAGAAACAAAAGATTATATATCATACTGTTCCACTTAAAGGAAATGTGCATAATAGGAAAATCTATGAAGAAAGGAAGTAGATTAATGGTTCCCAGGCATTGGGGGATACAATGAGGAGTGATTGTTAATAGACATAGTGTTTCTTTATGAGTGTGAAAATGTGAAATTAGTATTGATAGTCACATAACTCTATGAATATACTAAAAACCTCTATGTTGTAGACTTTCAAAGGGTCAATGTTATGATATGTGAATTAAAATCTAAATTTTCTAAAGAAGAAAAAAAGAAAGTGAAAATGATTTGCTTAACTGAAATCCAGCTTCAAATGAAAAGAAAAAAAATCAATGTATCAATATCAAGGCATCTGTCATGAGCAGATATAAATGCATCTGAAAATCGTGATGTGATCAGAAACATGTGAATGATTCAGTGGTGTTACCACTAAGAAAGACAGCAATTATTCTAACAGAGTTATTGCTTTTATGGCACAGATATAAGAGGATGGCCCATGAAGAAAAAGATCTAGATCAAGAACCTGGTTCTCACATTTTCTGTTTGACATCTTAGACAAAGTACTCAATTTTTACATGATTCACTTTCCTTTCCTGTAAAGCCAGAACAATGGTACTCCCCTCTTCAAAGTTCTTATAATCCTATTAACTAAATGAAAAGCTTGTTTCAAAGGCTTGGGATACAGTTAAGGACAAAGTAAACATTAAAATATTTAATATAGAAATGATTTACTGTCAAATCTGAGAAAGCTAAATTCATAGGGCAGCAGGTCTCTGAAAATTTGCAATAGCAGGAATTTGGTGCATGAGGTTATAGGTTCAGAAAGAACAAAAAGAACATGGAAAATAAAATCCACCTGATCATCCACACATCCCTACTTTACATAATGGTTTTATTATAACAATAAAAAGTAACTATCTGGTCCCAGCATTGTGGCATAGCAGGTTAAGCCATTGCCTGCGATACCAGCATCCCATATAGGTGCTAGTTCGAGACCCTGCTGCTCCACTTCCAATCTAGCTCCCTGCTAATGTAATTGGGAAGGCAGTGGAAGATGGCCCAAGTACTTGGGCCCCTGCACCCACGTTGGAGACCTAGAAGAAGCTCTGGATCCCTAGCTTTGCCCTGGCACAGCCCCAGCTATTGCAGACATTTGGGGAGTGAACCAGCGAATGGAAGATATATTTCTCTCTCTCTTTGTCCCTCTGCCTTTCAAATAAATAAAAAGAATTAATTAAAAAGTAAGCTATCTCTTAATCATAAAGAATTCTTCACTGAATTAAAAGCAGTTCCTTCTGTAACTTGAAAGAGCCAGAGAGAGAGGTGGCAGACAGCACTGTGGAGAGGTAAGGTAAGCCACTTCAATTTCCTGCTAATGCAAAGAAAGCAGCTGACTATGGCCCAAGTACTTGGGCACCTTTCACGCATGTGGGAGGCCAGACTGGAGTTCATAGGTCCTGGCTTCAGCCTGGCCTAGCCCTAGCTGTTGCAATTGGAGAGTGAACCAGTGGATGGAAGATATCTCTCCTTCTCCCTTTCCCTCTCCCCCTTTCCCTCCCCCTCCCTCTCTCTCCTTCCTCCCTCCCTGTCAAATAAATCAATAAATAAATTTAGGGAAGGAAGGGGGGAGGAAGGGAGGGAGGAAAGGAAGAAGGAACAAAAAGGGAGGAAAGAGCAAGCCAGCCAGTGGGACACTTTTCTAGGAGAAATGGCTTATCAGTAATTTTCACACTTTACTGATCAAAGGAATCACTCAATGGACTAGTAAGTTTACATATTCCTAGGCCTTACCCTAGGGATTCTAATTCAGTAGATCCTAGTGGATTCTGAGAACCTGCTCTTGGGTGATGCTGAATGAGGCTGCTTAACCAACACCATAATTTATGGGGCCCTGGCTTGAACAATATGATATTGTATTTGCTCAGTTACTTTAAAAAAAAAAAAAGTGATTTATCCCACTCAGGCAAATTTTATGAACTGTTACCTTCAGAAGAAAAGGAAAGCATGTCATAACTACAAATAATACCTAGTATTTACTCAATGTCTATATATAACATACTGTTCTAAAAATTTTACACAGGTATACTTTACCCAAGCTTCCTAACCACCTTATGAGTTAAATAGTCTTACTATCCAGTTTGCAAATAGAGTAGCTTCACAGAGATTGAACAATTTCTCCAATATTATACAGTGTAGGCATTCTACCAAAAAGGTACTGCTGGAAACTTTTAAAACAAGTTTGAGGCCATAATATCTCAAGTTGAAATAACTATGTATATGTGTCATGTATATATCAGATAAAGATAAAAATAGACTATTTTTTTCAGTCTCAGAAATTCTAGAAGTATGAAAATGAGAAAAGGAATATTTCACTGAAAAACTATAATCCTTCTTTTCAAATTATAAATATATGCTAATATTTTTCAAACTGCTAACCACTTTTCTCTTATAAAGAACAGTTAATAAATTTCATAACTTAATATCATTGAAATTATCTTTTTCTGGCCATTTCAATTGTAATTAAGAGTAAAAATAGCAAAAATTTAACTTTTATTTTCTTTTATTTTCAATCATCTAGTGATAGAAGCATTTCTGAGTCAAAATTATTTTAAACATCATTTGGTTAATGGTGGATCTTCTATTGAAATACTAATGGGTGAAGATTACATACCTTGTTTTTAAAATAAACCTCAATTGGCAAAATGAAACCAGCATACCCAGATTCTTCTACTTTGTAAGGTGGATCTTTGCACACTGCAACATTAAAAAAAAAAAAAGAGACTAGGTAAGATGAGAATAATAAATGAAAATACATTTTTCTTTTTTTTTAACAGAAAACATTCTACCACCTAGATCACCCCAAATTTCACAGCTTGTTACCAGCCCCCCAGACTAGTCTCTCATCAGTCTTCCATTTCTTCTCCACAATCTAGAACATTTTTCAACATTAAGTGAATATGGAAGTTTTTTATTCAAATAATGGTGGATAAGCCATGGTTATCAGTGAGTGGCCTTCAGTTGTTAACACCCACCTTAAATCTTTAGGAAAATTGAGGTTAGCTCCTAAAGAACCAAAAAGAACTCTAGGTTTCCTAACAAATGCTATCTAAGTCCAGTATTTCATGCAAATAACGTCCCCATGTGAACTCCTCTCTTGTTTGAGACACCCTGATTTCTATGTCATTGTCCTTTAGAAAATCCCAAACCCCGAGTCCCTCTATATGATTGATGCCCATGAATACGCATTACCACTCTTCTTTCTGAAAAGGAAATGCTTATTGAAATACTGGTCTACATACAAGCACTTACAATATAATCACATCTTAAGACTGTTCTTTTTTTTAAAGGTTTTTGTATTTCTTATGGAGTTAGAAGGAAGCAAGAATGCTAGGCAAGTTCTCGGGAGGAAATGAGAGACTCTAGGAGGCTAAACAGGATTTCATCACACTAAAACTTCCATTAAACAAATCAATCATACACCAACTGAAATTATTTTGGTTAAGATTGTATTTGGCAAAATCACAGAATAAAATATCTATGTTGAATATCAAGGCCACGTGTCCTAGAAACCTGACTCCTTCAGCTGTTCCAGTTTACTTTCTGATCCTGCCTCCTGTTGTCAACTACCAAACCCGTGTGCTTCATTCAGATGCATTGGTTACCCCCAACTATTCCCAGATGTCCCACCCAGGCCCAGTCCCCTCGGTGTCCTTGCATCACATTATGAAGCTATTCTTAGCAGCCTCTGCTAATTCAAATCCCAACTTCTTCTCAAGGCCCTTCGAGACCACAGAGCAGTATCATCTTTTCCCCTTCTACCCTCTTCAAGCATTCACTGTCTGAATCACTGCTTTGACACTCAGATGAGGTCCTCATAATCATATAATTCAAGAATCATGGCTGGCGCCGCGGCTCACTTTGCTTGCTAATCCTCTGCCTGCGGCACCAGCACACCGGGTTCTAGTCCCGGTTGGGGTGCCGGATTCTGTCCTGGCTGCCCCTCTTCAAGTCCAGCTCTCTGCTGTGGCCCGGGAGTGCAGTGGAGGATGGCCCAAGTGCTTGGGCCCTGCACCTGCATGGGAGGCCAGGAGGAAGCACCTGGCTCCTGGCTTCAGATCGGCGCAGCTCCTGCTGTGGCGGCCATTTGGAGGGTGAACCAACAGAAGGAAGACCTTTCTCTCTGTCTCTGTCTCTGTCTCTCTCTCTCTCTCATTGTCTAACTCTGCCTGTCAAAAAAAAATCATATTCTAATTTATTTTCACTCCCTGAGGACAGAAAGAACACTCCCTTTAGGGAGATAAAGAATGCCAAGGGTTCAAACCACACAGCCAGTGTACCTATATACAACCTGTGATCCACCTCAGACCAGACAGGCTACCTGTACAAAATTATTTTACCATTCTGAACCATGGATTCCTCTTCTAGACAGTGTTAACATTAAACAGGGCAACTAAAACAGACAATGTTGGGTTTCCCCCAAAATTCATATGTTGAAGTCTTAACCCTTAACAGTAATGGTATCCAGAGCTGCGCCTTTGGGTGGTGATTTGGTCATGCAGGGTCTCATGAATGGGATTAGCACCCTTATAAGGGAGGATATACAGAATTCTCTTGGTTAGACATTCCACAAGTACAAATGTCAGTATAAAGACGTATACTTAAGGCAAAATTTTAACATTTGACAAATCTATTTTAGCCCACCTTCGAAAAATTTCCCCAAACTGACACCAAAAGAAGTATATTAAGTTATCTCACTTGACCTTGTAAGTTTTTCTAATTTAAAGAAAAAAATGAATAAAGAAAAGGAAAAGAACTCAGATTGGCTTCAGCCTTGCATCTACTGACCACCTGCTAACCAGTCATGAATATTCAAATACCCCAGAAGGTAGCAGAGAGGCAGATGCATCTAAATGCACGGAGCAGCCTCTACCTCACTCCAGCAAGGTTAACGTCACACCCACGACATTTCCAGGCTGCAGAGTCCCTTTTCAGAACAGCAGTTTTAGTGTCCAGGTTGCTTGGGATTAATCATGCCAATGTCATCTGAAGGAAGTTTATTTTGTGGGCTGCTTCACATGCCAGAGAAGTTATAGCTGTTCTTCTATATACCCTTTTGTATAATTCATTTTCTCCATTTTGCATGCAAATTGCTCCTATTATAGGAAACAGCTGTTAGTGAGCACACATCTTATAGTTGAAGGCTTTGGATTTTTTCCCACTCCTAAAGGAAATGATCTGCTATGTATTAATATTCTATGGAAGTCTGGTTTTATAGGAAACTGTTTACTAACTCATACCTCAACTATTTTAAATGCAACATTTTCATCAATAACAATAACAATGTCTATAAAGCACACTGAGTTCTTAATTAGACAAACAATGGAAACTTTTTACATACAAAACACATGATGCAAAATCAGTAGCAATGTAAATATAAATTGACAGTCCTAATCTGAAGAAAGTCAAATTAGAGGAAGTTGTTTATTTATTTGGGTATCATAATCATTAACACGGTTTTAAGTAAGTTCTAAAAAAGAAACAGGAGTTAAAACTAAAAACACTTCACCCAGTAGTGATAGTACACTAGACATGAGCAATTATTTTTAAATCAGTAGAATCATGTTTGGGAAGAATCTTCCTGTGTACCCAATACAGACCTGGATCCAGTTCTGATAGTACCACATTTTAAGCAACTGAGTTAACCAATTAGGTTAACTTAGAAGATTTCAAGGTCATTTTGAAACTAACATTCTATAGACATAAATAACATTTTCCCTTTCCTCTCCTTCCATACATTACTATCCATATACTCTAAAGTTCTACCCAGGAGACATTTCAAAATTCTCTTTGTCAAAGTAATCACATTTATCACATAAGTCTTATCAAGATACAACACCCAAAATTCATGCCTGATAGGAACAGACAAAAGTCTGTTTAAAACAATGAGTATATGGACTTTCTTTTCCACTAAAATAGTTCTTCAAAATAACAAGTATACTACAGATTCCCAACATGTAGTATAATGCTATGACACATATTGATCATTAACCTGTTTAATTTTTAAGTTGAAAAACAGATTCACAGAAAGGAAAACACAAAAAAGAAAAAAAAAAAAAACAGATCACAATTTGGAAAACCCAAAATAAGTAATCCTTATTAATAAGTAAATCTTTACTTATTTACTGAAATATTTAATATTCTCCTTTAGGAGAAAAGAGTTTGATACACAGAAATAAATGATCTTTAGATGAATAAATGAATTCTCATTTATATAAAAATTATATATAATAAACACATTTGATTAATAGGACTCAATTTTAGCAACTCCCTCCCACCAAAAAAAAAAAAAAAGCACACATGCATACAAATCACTCCTGCTAAATCCATAAGACCTTCATTTAAGCTTTAGAGATATCAATAGGCAGTAGTATTTTTTTTTTTCACTAATCCTCAGGAAAACAGCTGGTGGAGTCCTCTCCACAGCATTGCTCTGGTTTGTTTGCTTAGACCCTATCATTCACAGCGATCTGAATACATTTGTTAAGGACATGGCCCGGTCACCCATTGATAATTATTGGTTTTCATTTTAGAAGAGCCCTTCTGAGAGGAAACACCAAATTCTGTCTATATAAAGACTGCTACTGCCACTGTTTTTGTGTCAGATGTCCCTTCCAGCTTGAGCATTTTGGACTTCTTCCCTGCCTGCTTCCATGTCACCAACTCAGAGCCCCCAGGAATGGGAAAATCAGCGTCCTGCACAGCCCATTTTATTGTTCCAACAGTTCTCTGGAGTGTCTGGAATTCTAGGGCCAGACTCTAGAAGCCTGAGTACCAAGGGGCAGCCCACCACACTGCCACTACACATGGCTGAGTTATTACACACATAGCATCTGGAACAAAACCAACAGTTGGGTTTTGTTTTTAACTTTATAAGCATGTGTTCAGCTCCCCCCCCCTTTTTTTTTGACAGGCAGAGTAGACAGTGAGAGAGAGAGACAGAGAGAAAGGTCTTCCTTTAGCCCTTAGTTCACCCTCCAATGGCCGCTGCGGCCAGCGCACTGCAGCTAGCGAACCACACTGATCCGATGGCAGGAGCCAGGAGCCAGGTGCTTTTCCTGGTCTCCCATGGGGTGCAGGGCCCAAGCACTTGGGCCATCCTCCACTGTACTCCCTGGCCACAGCAGAGAGCTGGCCTGGAAGAGGGGCAACTGGGACAGAATCCGGCACCCTGACTAGGACTAGAACCCAGTGTGCCGGCGCCACAAGGCTGAGGATTAGCCTAGTGAGCCGCGGTGCCAGCCTCAGCCCCTTTTAAATCAATTTCTAAACAGAAACAAGATATATTTTCCCCCTTTGTGTTGTATTTCTTGCCCCACTTCACTGAAAAAGGACTAAAGATACCACTGAGTAAATCTGGAGTTATGTTGAGTTGTTTTTACTTTGTTTATTGTTTTAAAATTAAAATACAATTCTAATACATATGTTTCCTACTGAATTAGCAATTATATGACATAAGATGATTATCTAACTTTCATAAACTTTATTTATTTATTTATTTGACAGGTAGAGTTATAGACAGTGAGAGAGAGACAGAGAGAAAGGTCTTCCTTCCATTGGTTCACTCCCCAAATGGCCGCCACAGCCGGAGCTGCGCCGATCCGAACCCAGGAGCCAGGTGCTTCCTCCTGGTCTCCCATGCGGGTGCAGGGGTCCAAGCACCTGGCCCATCCTCCACTGCCCTCCTGGGCCACAGC